ATTTTATTACAAAATATAATATAATAAAAGTTTACAACCAAACTAGCAAAAGGTTATGATTACAATTATTAAATATGTAAAAAAGATAATAAAGAGAGGATGCGTTACTGAAAATAATGGATTTTGGAGTGCTCACTTTTAAGTGAAAAACTTAATTTTGTTATGTCGGAAAGACAATTTAACAATTTGCTTATGAATGTATAATTTAGTAGGAATAGTATATAAGGTACTTCATGAATAAAATATTATCACTAATTATTAAATTAATCATTAAAAATTAAAAATATTTATTAGTGGAAGTACACAAAAGAGATTTACTATGACAAACAATGATTAAGAGATAGAGGAAAAATGTCACTTCTGAATTCACCTAATTTTAATGATAATAAAAAATCAGAAATTACTTTTTTGGTTTTTAAAGAAATTTTTGTTTGTGCTTAGTCAAATATCCACAAACATTTTCTCACTGACGAAATAAACTCGAGACTAAAACAGTGAGTATTTATGCGCTTCCTTGGACACGTTCAGATTACAAAGGGTAGTTCTGGTTCAATAATTGCTGTTGGTAAAAGTATTCAGGAGTCGAATCATTCTGGATTTCAGATTCCTTTCAAGTATATTTTCTTTTAGTAGATGAAATATGACAAAAATCCATAAAATACTCTTTACAGTGTTTCGCGTATGAAAAAAGATAAGGTCCATAAAAAAAGATCTAATCTCGGAAAAGGGTTTCAAGATTTCTTGTAGAAGGAATAAAAATTCATTAAGGTTAAGTTTGCTATTTATTTACTAAAGAGTTGTTACATAAACATAAAACTAACATTAATTACATGTTAAAAATTCTTTTGAGTATTTCTAAAAACTCTTTCCAATATGAAAAAATTATCCTTATAAAGAAATTAAATCATTATATTTTATGTTTTTAATGCTGAATATATATTTAAAGAAAATTGAAGTTTGAGGTTCTATTAGCAAAATATATATATATATATAATTTTCTCAGTGCATTCACTTATACGCATTATTTATAAAGGAAATAAAAAACAAATTGTGATTGATGTTGTTTTAATTATAAAATAGTAGGACTGCTCTTTTTGAACCTAAAAATAATTTTTCGATTGTCGACAACTTAGAGTATACATTTTTTAAGATTCAAATTTATTAAAAAGTTGTGTAAAATATTGTTTTATATTCTTTTTAGAATCTTTTTTAAACATCCGTTCAATTTAATAAAAAGAACCAATATTGTATAAAGTAATACATATTCTTTAAAAGAATATACTGACTTTTAGCGAGAAACATATTTTCCAAGAGTTGGTGAAGTATGACTTTTCTCAGTTGGTCTAATTTAAATATCAGTTTAGTAAGGAAAGTCTGTCTGTAAAGTGTACAAATTTATGGGCAACTTGCGTATGGATGTTTTATTTAGTAGCAATAGTATATAAGGTGCTTCATGAATAAAATATCATCACTAATACCCGGAGGCAAGGCGACGCGTTTTTCTTCTGAAGATGCTCGCTGAAAAAATGAACGATTGCGTTACAGCATTTACAAAAACGATCATAAATAACGGAGTGAGAAAATATTTGGATACATAAATCAATACAATGCACATATTTTAAAATATAGCTAAATTTTTAATAAAAGATTTCCTACGATTCGTGGAAAAGTTATAGTTTAAATGCTTATAAAATTAAAACATCAAGAAATATGCTTCAACAATAGTCAATATTAAAGCTTATACTGTGAACATCCTAATTATACCTTAATTTACAGAAGTGTGCAGATATCACGAAGTCTATGTGATATTCTGTGTTGTGAGGTTCTTTTTCTTTTAATATAATTCAATCCCCAGAGTTAATAAATAATCAATGCAGTGTTCCTTCAGGATAAAAAATGTTATTTTCATGATAGGAAAGGGAATCATGTATGTCGTGCACTACAAGACAAATTACAGTAAATACATTTTGTTGGTTAAATAAATGTCTTGATTCATTTCACGTCGGTACATTTATTTAGGACCAAATTAAGGGAGAATTGGGTCAATAGGAAGAGAAGATCGAAAGTCTAAAAGCAATTGAGCACATGATACGGTTAGACAAATAGCAGCTATTCGACTTTCAAAAGAACGCAGGAAATAACGAGAAAAGTATAATCTTGTACTTCCTTTTATTTTTCAAAATCACGTTTCTATTATGTTTGTCTCCTTTATTAGAATTCCAAACCCAAGTCCAACAATAATTTCGCATATTCAATCCATTTTTGTGAATTTTCAGATAAATAATAAAATCAATTATTTAACATTATTTCAAAAATAAACCAAAAATGATAAGTTAATATTGATGAAATGTAAATTTTAGTAAATTGAATACTATATTTTACGCAATGTTTTTATTAAATCATCAAGAGAATAACAAATTAGTTAAAATTATTAAAAAAACTTATAATTAGAGATTTTTTCTTTCTCTGACTGTATTTAAATAATTAATCATTTTCACTTTATAAAATTAAGTTGATATTACGAATACAAATTCTTATTATTCATAATTAACATTAATGTGACTTTTCTGCCTGGACGTAAATTTTAACTCTTAACCGAGCTTAACGAAATCAAAGAAATCAGTTTTCCGCTTTTTTTAAAAAATTGTCGATATTTACATTTTTCTAATGGAAATGACATTTTGACACTTTCCTATGTTGAAAAGTGAATTTTAGATGTCAGAACGAATCATGTTTGTGAAATTTAAAGTGAACCACCTGCACCACCCACAATAGTCCAACCATGAATCACACGTTGTTTGGCATCGTATAGCATACAGGCAATAATAACCTCCCCTACTGATTGCACATTCTACACAGCGGATTCAAACATTTTGAAGATCAAAATATTAAAAATTCAACAAATGTACTTGATTGTACTCGAAATTAATATAGAGGTATTTTTGAGGTTCCCGAAAAAAAATTCTAGAGTCAGAACAGTAAATAAATATGTGACATAATATCGACAAATATATTAACTAATATATTTATTTATAATAGAATATAAGTTTCAAAATATTTCTTGGTTTTTGAAGAAATTGTTTGTTTCTGTTAATTTAATTCAATTTTACAATAAGTGAAAGAAAAATACAAAAATGTGATAAACGGAATAAAAAGCAGTTAATTTTGTATTTTCTTTAAAAAATATACCTCTTTATATAAATAATAGCTGCTGACTTGATTCGAAAAAAGAAAAGTCATTTTTAATCGAATAAAATTTCTTTTTTTTGGTACTTTTTTAAAAAACCTTAGTTATAAATGTTAAAATGTTGATTTGAAGTCACTTTCATATAATCACTCCGATCAACAGAGAAGGGAATTATATCCATGAATAATTGCAGAAAATTTGAGAGGCTGAGTTCCGAATCATTTTGACGTGTCGCGTAACAAGGTATTGTGGAAATTACATTCAAATTCTATATGGAATTCATTTAATTGTATACGTACAGAAAATCTACATGATAATAACTGAATACAGACATGTAAGTAATCAACCTATGAGATTGAATATATTTAAAGTAGTATTATATTTTGTTTAAAAAAATAAACTTTTTTGTTCAAAAGATTCTTAAAAATATTGTCTAGTTTATCTGTATACCTTTTTCCTTTCTAGGTACAACCTAAAAAGAATCCAAAAATGGCCCTTTTTTAAAATTCTTGAAATTTCTTCCTTTTGATCTATTTTCATATAATGTACATAATAAAATGGTTTTCTATATTCTTATTCTATATTTTTATTTATAAATTGTTTTATTTCAACTGTTTGGTCAGACTTCCTTATAAATAGTAATTTGCTATTTATTGATATATATATCACATTATTAAATGAGAAAAATAAATTTATTTAAAATAAGATTAAATTTATTTATATCATTATACATCTATACTATTTTTACAAGAACATTTAACAAATCTTTGACCAGTTCCTAATGAATGCTATGGGTAAAGACCATCTTAAGTGATTAACTCTGTTTGTTCTTGTATGTCTTCGATATTTAAATTTTTTTTGAAAGGAGAAAACTGCGACTAGAAATGAAATAAAAATGCTATACCTAACGTAAATTGAATAAATTTTATTTGTACAGTAGAATTCCACTTATAATACAGACCATTACGATATAGTATAGAGTAGAGTGGGGTGAAAAAGCCATTTGGGTTTCATATTAAAACTATTGAAAAGTTTTATCTGCTATTTAGAATTTCAATTATGTATTACGAAAATTTTGGTTCTAGTTTGGTTGTTGTATTTATAATATTATAGTCTTTTTTTTGTAAAATTTAGTTTTGAGTAAAAAGTGTCTTTTTCAACCCACCCCAGTGTGCAAAGTTACAGAACAGTTCTGTAACTGTTCTATAACAAAAAAGAACAAGTTCTAGAACTGGTGAGAAACAGGTCAGTAAAAATGTCGTCCTGCTGGGGGCACAAAATAGTTACAGGATCTGTCACAATTCTAGAACAATGTTCTGGATCATTGTTCTAGAACAAATATGTAATAATTTGATAACAAAATAAATTAAAAAAATTTTAATTCTATAACAATTCTGTAACCGATCTATAACAATATTCTAGAATTACAGAACATTTTTTGTATCATTTTGATTGTTGATTGTAGTATGAGGAATGCGTGTGACAGTCGAGAGAAGGATTTTAGGAGAAAATATTATATAAGTAGGGATTTTAATTGCCAGGAGTATGCGCGAGGAAAAGGAAGGGTTTTGGCGGGCATTGACGCGGGAGTCTAAGTTAGTAAGTCGGGGACTAAGCGTAGAATAGGGCCTTTTGAGTTTTGTACTGGGATTTTCCCATAATTTGATTGATTATAATAAAAGTGTACACAACATATTTTAATTGTTAAATTTGTGTTTTATTGTGTTTTTACCCTGAAAAATAACAAGTGGCGACCGTGACAGGACCGCTGAATTTATAGTGTTGCATTTTTGTGAAGTTTTGTGTGTGAAAAATGGAAGCCGCCAAAAAGGAACGTACGGCGATGCGGACCGCATTCACCAAGGCACACAACGGTTTCCAAACGAAGATGACTGGTAATCTGTCTAAGGAGGATAAGTTGATCGCCTTTCAACTGCTGGAGTTGAAAATGGTGGAGCTGGACGCTGCACAATCTAAATACAACCAATTCCTTTTCAAATCAGACGCTTCAGACGAAACAATTGCCAAGGAGATGGAGGCGGACGAGCCATATAGGACGTTATTCGTCACTGCAAAATTAAAGATGGCGAATCTGGATTCTCCTCAGGCGGGACCGAGCCACGTGGTTTCTATGATGGCGGACAGAAAAACCATAAAGCTTCCCACTATAGAGTTGCCTAAATTCAGCGGTAAAATTAAAGAATGGCTCCCCTTCTGGAGCCAGTTTAAAAAAGTTAACGATGATAGTACAATCAGTGGAGAAGATAAATACCAGTATCTAATCCAAGCCACTGTCCCCGGCTCACGAGCCAACGATATCGTTAACAGTTTTCCTCCGACGAGGGAAAATTACCAAAAGGCTGTGGACACTTTGAAGAGTCGTTTTGGCCGTGATGATCTGCTCGTGGAGTTCTACGTCAGAGAACTTTTGGGATTAGTCCTTCAAAATGCCTTAAAAGGAAATAAGAGACCAGCATCGTTAGCTAGTTTATACGACAGGCTGGAATCCTTCATAAGGTCGTTGGACACTCTTGGCGTCACGAAAGACAAATGTACGGCCATGTTATTCCCTTTGGTCGAGTCTTCACTTCCGGAAGAAACGCTCCGGGCTTGGCAGAGAAGCGGACAGAGGGGAGCAATCGAGGCGGAGGGTCAGTCAACTGATCGTCTATCGAAGCTGCTCGAATTCCTACGTTTAGAAGTCGAAAACGAGGAGCGGATTGACTTGGCACTCACCGGGTTTGGTTTGTCATCGGAAGCAGAAGCATCGAGGAAGCCGAAGGGTAAAGTAGACTCAACGAAAGATGTACCTAGTGCAAATGTCCTTTTAGTATCTAAATCTGAGAAAAAACGTATCTGTATTTTTTGTAAAGCAGAGCATGAAAGCAGGACGTGTGAGGTCGCTCGTAAATTAAATTTAAAAGAACGGAAAGATATTGTTAAAAAAGAAAACGCATGTTTCCTTTGTTTGACGCGTGGGCATCCAGCTAAGAAATGCCATGTTCCGGTTAAATGTGACTGGTGCTCCAGACATCACGTCTTGCTTATGTGCTCGGAGTTTTGTCGCGCGGATGTTTCAGATGATAGAGAGATTAGTGTAAGTGTCAGTGTAGATGAAATGGAAAATCAGAATACGTTAACAACTCTGTCTGATTTTCCGAAGGTTTGTTTACAAACGCTGCGGGTCGAATTATTTTCGCCATTTAAAAAGAAAATTGTGAGAGCGGTAATAGACACGGCATCGCAGCGTTCTTACATTCGTACTGATGTCGCACGGGAGTTGCAATATGTTCCGACGGGAAAAATAACGGTCACGCATTCTTTGTTTGGTGGCGCGAAATCGGAAAGAAGAAATCTTGATGTATTTTTAATTCATGTGCGAAATTTAGATAACACTTATTCATGCAATTTTTCCGTTCTGGAACAAAAGATTATTTGTGACACAATTTCGGGCCCAAAAAGTGACTCGTGGGTAGAGGAACTGCGTAAGAATAATATCGTATTGTCGGATATAGATAGTAAAAGCAATAAAATAGACGTTCTGATAGGCGCGGATGTGGCCGGAAAATTGATGACCGGAAAGAAATATGTTTTGCAAAATGGTTTGACTGCTTTTGATACGTTATTGGGGTGGACTGTAATGGGAAAATTACCGGTAAATTCGAAAAGTATAGATTCTGCCACAATGATTACCACGTTGCTTGTGCGCGAGGCTAGAGTAACCGATCTGTGGGAATTAGACGTAATCGGTATTACAGATCCGATCGAAAAATTGGAAAAGGCTAAAAGAGATGACAAGGTCTGGGAATTTTTGATAAATACGACGAAATTGACTCAGGAAGGTCGGTACGAAATTAAGTTGCCATGGGTGGAAAGTCACATTCCCATTCCTAGTAATTATGATATAGCATGTAGTAGGTTAAAGAGTTGCATTTTTAAACTTAAAAAGCAAAATTTGTACGAGGCTTATGGTGAAATTTTTAAAGAATGGTTAGCGGAAAATATCATTGAAAGAGTTCCAGAAAATGAAATGGAAAGTATTAGTCATTATCTTCCGCATCGCCCGGTGGTGAAGGCTGAGGGAACGACAAAGATAAGACCTGTCTTCGACGCATCGGCTTGCGCAAAGGGGAACCCTTCCCTAAACGTTTGCTTGGAGCGGGGGCCTAATTTGATTGAGCAAGTGACATCGTCTCTGAATAGATTCCGAGAAGGGGAAATCGGGGTGGTCTCTGATATAAGAAAGGCTTTCTTGCAGATAGTTGTGAATAAGGAAGACAGAGACTACCTCCGATTTCTCTGGATGGAAGGAGATAGATTGGTAACATTTAGACATTGTCGCGTGGTGTTCGGTCTCGCTTGTAGCCCATTTCTATTAGCAGCTATCCTTGCAATTCTTGTGGAATCAGCCACAAAACAGGCAAAAAATGATTTGCATTGCGGATGGTCTGTAGAAACTGTAGAAAGATTGAGAAATGGATTTTACGTAGACAATTGCGTTGTTAGTGTAGAGTCGAGTCAGGAACGGGATAAATTTGTCAAAGAAGCCACAGCAATGTTAGCATCGGGGGGTTTCGACCTTAGAGGTTGGGAAAGTTCGGGAGATTCTGAAGGCAGTGAATGCTCACTTGTCTTGGGAGTTTTATGGAATAAAAAACATGATTCAATATCAATTAACCCGAACGCTTTGAACCTAGAAGATACACGTGTTGTCACGAAACGAAACATTCTAGCCGCGACGCACAAATTATATGATCCTTTTGGAATAACGTGTCCGGTATCGCTTTTGCCAAAATTGATTTTGCGTAAATTATGGGACAACAAAATGGGTTGGGACACCGAAATTGAGGAAGGTCAAGAAGAATTCTTACTGTGGGAAAGTAACCTGTCAATGTTGAAACAGATAAAAATTCCGCGTAAACTGGGACGCGGCGAGTTAACATTACACGTTTTTGGAGATGCAAGCGGGTCAGCTTATGCTTCGGTGGTTTTTGCGCGGACTGAGTACGAAGGTTCAGTTACCGTTAGGTTGTTAAATGCAAAATCCAGAGTGGCCCCGAAAAATGCGACTATACCACGACTAGAATTAATGGCCGCTACTATTTCGGTTAGATTAGCGAATACTGTGACTCAATCATTAACGAGACCCATTTTAAAGACGACATACTGGACAGATTCTACGACAGTATTAGCGTGGATCAAAAGAGAGTCACAATGGAATACTTTTGTTTATAACAGGGTTACCGAAATTCGAACTAATAGTAATCGGGAGGATTGGAAATTCGTACCGGGCGAATTGAATCCCGCAGATTTACCTTCGCGAGGTTGTTGTTCGTCAAGATTAGTAGAATCCGAATGGTGGGCGGGGCCTGATTGGCTTTATAAATCGGATTCCGAGTGGCCCACGGGAAACGCTGAAATTAAAGAGGACGAGATAAGAGGCGAAATAAAAAAGGGGCCTATAGTTCAGATGGCAAATATTGAAAAATCTGACTTTGAAGTCGGAAAATATTTCGCGTCTTATTCTCGTTTATGTAAATTTTTAGCATGGATGAGGAGATTCTTGGAAAATAGGCGGGCAATTATAGAAAGAAAGAAAAACGATAGAGATTTTAGGGCACCGTATTTGAGCGAGACAGAGCGTAAACAACTGCACTTGACACCAGGAGAAATAAAAATTGCTGAAAAGAATTTGCTTAAATATTTACAAGAAAGAATGTTCTCAGGTGTCAATGCAGATCAACTGTCCTCATTTAAAACGTTTTTAAATGAGGACGGTATACGGGTCTTGAAAACAAAAATTGACAATCGAGTTGATAGCTTTCAGTTCCGATGTCCCATATTGCTGGATGGAAAAGATGAAACGATTCAGTTACTGGTTCGCGAAACGCATGAAAAGTTGGGACATGCAGGAACTTTAATGATCATGAGTATCCTCAGAGAGCGCTTTTGGATAACGTCATTGCGTAAGGTGATAAGAACCATTCTATCAAAGTGTGTAGTCTGTAAAAGACACCACGCGAAAAGATTAGAATGCGAACCGCCACCTTTACCCCTTAACCGTGTACGCGACGCGGCAGTTTTTGAAGTCGTGGGAGTAGATTTTGCTGGCCCGTTGTTTGTTAGGGGGGGAGGAAAGGCGTGGATTTGTATATTTACATGCGCGGTGTACAGGGCGGTCCACTTTGAGCTGGCCACGTCGTTGTCAGTAGAAGGCTTTCTCGAGTGTTTTCGAAGATTTATAGCAAGGCGAGGACGACCTCGGGATGTTTACAGCGACAATGGTACAAATTTTGTTGGTACCAATAATGCATTCAAGTTCTTGGATTGGCAAAAAATCGTGAATCAAGGCGCGTTGTCGAAGATAGCGTGGCACTTCAGCCCTCCTTCAGCTCCGTGGTGGGGAGGGTGGTGGGAGAGACTGATCGGGATTATGAAAAGAATCTTGCGAAAGACACTTGGAAAAGCGAGTTTGTCGTTCCCAGAATTGTACACAGTACTGTGCGATGTGGAGTCTATTGTTAATTCACGACCGTTGACTTATGTGTCCGAGGATCCCGATGATCTTGTTCCTTTATCACCATCGGTCTTCCTACAAGAAGTCAGAGAAATAGGGGTTTTGGACTGCGACATGCTATACCATTCAAAATTAAATAAGAAAGCTAAATATAGACTTAATATTTTGAAAGATTTGCGCACAAGATTTCGGACCGAGTACTTGGGTCAATTGGTAATAAAAAATTCGAAAGAAGAGTCGCGTAAAATAAAACCAGGCGATGTTGTGTTAATTGGTGACGATTTGCACAGGCGGTTGGACTGGCCTCTCGCTAGAGTCGTGGAAATGTATCCTGGGCGTGATGGAAATGTCAGAGTGGCATTATTGAAAACTAAAGACGGGCTGCGTAAACGAGCATTGCAAAGAATTTTCCCATTAGAAGTTCCACAGGACGAAGTTGATGTGCAGAATTTGTGTAAAAGAATGAGTGGTAATGGTGAAAAAATTGTAACTCCAAAAAAGATTGATTCAATTTTAAAAGAAGTGGGTGTAAAAAATGATTGTAACTTGACGGATTCAAAAAAGACTGATAAATGTACAAAAAACAAATGTAACTTGACGGATTCAAAAAAGACTGATAAATGTACATCGAAAAACAAATGTAAAAAAAAGGTTTTAGATTGTGTTGTAACCAGATGTGGTCGTCGAGTTAATAAACCGCAATATTTTCAATCGTAGAGACTGATTCTCGTCGACAGGGGGGAGGATGTTGATTGTAGTATGAGGAATGCGTGTGACAGTCGAGAGAAGGATTTTAGGAGAAAATATTATATAAGTAGGGATTTTAATTGCCAGGAGTATGCGCGAGGAAAAGGAAGGGTTTTGGCGGGCATTGACGCGGGAGTCTAAGTTAGTAAGTCGGGGACTAAGCGTAGAATAGGGCCTTTTGAGTTTTGTACTGGGATTTTCCCATAATTTGATTGATTATAATAAAAGTGTACACAACATATTTTAATTGTTAAATTTGTGTTTTATTGTGTTTTTACCCTGAAAAATAACATTGATAAAAGTAAAATTGTGACTTGTAATTTGTAGTTTATTTGAGTAAAATTCCCCTGACTTAAAAAAAGTAACCGTGCCCAAATAGCACGGTATGTCACATAAATATCATTGGAATATTTTTTGGATTATTCCTGTGATATATAATGGAGATCAAAATGTCCACTTCATGGTGATATCTCAGTGATATTAGGAGTATTCTTCCAGTGATATTAAGGAAATATTTCAAGGAAATGATTTTTTAAATATTTTTATAGATTTCTATTTTTAACAGTCTTGAGCCACTCTAGTAGTACCACATTTATAAAAAAACTGTTCGTTGCATATTTGTTTCAGAACAGATAGAGAACAAATCTAAAATACAGTGATAGATCTATTATGCTACATTTTTGTAACACTGTTCTAGAACGCTGCAGTAACAACGTTTTTTAAAAGTTCTAGAACTAATTAAGCACAAACGTTCTAAAACAAATGTTACATCTTCCTTATAGAACAGAGGAAGAACACTTGTTCTATAACAAGTTACACTTTTTGTTCTAGAACTGTTACATAACGTGCACATTGGGACCCTACTCTAGTACTGTAAACATTTATTAATTCGATGCAACTATCCTATGAGCACATTATATCTATTTATGAGTCAATAATCTTTAGATTTTTAAACACTAAAATATGCAAAAGAACTGACAAAATTCACAATTTTGATTTTCTTTTAATTAAAATCAACAAAGCTTATGAATTTAATAAATGTAGTAAAATTAAAGTGTAGTATAATTATTGTTGAATCCGTTGTCTTTGGTTTATAAAGAAGTAGATTTTCAGCGAAAGGTTTGTCGAGCGTCCTACGCAGCTCCGACATTGTTCGATTTTTCTGTATTGGTGAGTGTAAGAAGCGTTCGTACATATCTTGTTTAGCATTAAAACAGTTACCCCTCTTTAATCTTTTTTCAAATCTATAGTACTCTTTCGAATTGACTATGGAAGCTCCTGTGTCAAAAAGAATAGTATCTCTCTAGTGCTCACTAGATTTTCCAAAATTAGTACAGGCGCTCCTGTCTGATTTGACTAAACTAAGAAAGTGTGAATTGTAGGTGCTCCTATGTTAAGACAATCCCCATTCTCCTTTTTAAAGTAAACCCTCCTATGTCAAATTAGTGCAGGCGCTCCTGCCTAATTTGAATAAAGATAAAAGTGGAAATTGGCTTGTCTATAGGACCTTCTGTGTCAAGACTATTCTCACACTACCACCTGAGACCATAAAGAACCTCTCTCGACAGTTTTACTTTAGAAAAATATATCTATGGGGTAATATTGTATTTTAATTCTAGTTCTGTAAATTTTGCATTAAAGAAGGTGAGACTACCAAGAAATGAGATTTTGGGAATGAATTAAAGTTAAGAGAAATTGTGAGAATTATAAAATCCAGTGGAATTATAAAAAGTGTCTCTATGAAAAATCGTCGTTAAAGTCAATTTATGTTATTACACAATTGTAGTTTGTTGACAAACGTCGTTCGACGATATTATGTTTATTTCTTTTCGTTTACTATCAATCGACGTAATTATATGTTTTATTTTCTATATTATAAAATATATATTACACAAAACAACAAAATTGAAATAAATTGGTGTAGCCAATGTCAAAGCTGTTTTTAATAGGTTTTTTCATGCTGATTACGAATCCGAGAGTAAAAAGTCTCAATCAACTATATAGTTTTTTAGAAAAACGCAGTCAAAGAGTTAAAATATCGCGTTTTTAACAAAGTTTGAGTACCTCTTGCGATAAATCAAAAGTGACTTGGAATTTGTCATTATTAGCGATTTTTTAAAATAAGTTTGAAATTTTTTATTTAAATTTTGGTAGTATTTAAAATTTTGCTATTATTCTTAACCAATTTTGCAAAAAGGTCGCTAAAGATTTTAGCAAATATTCCTGAGTCTGAAATTGAAATAGGAGATGACGAACGGAAACCACAATAGTTTGAATAATTCCCGTTTGGCAAGGTCGAGTGGCGTTTGGAACTTCCGGGGTAGAAAGGTGTTGAACAATGAACACAGAAAACCACGTCGACCGCTGGTGATGAACAATCTTCGCAGACTAGTTCCTCCAAACTTAATTTTGAGTTTCTCAAAGTTTTATGCATCGTAGTAGAAAACACGTTTACGTCTTTGATGTTAAAAACCGAAATACTGTCAATTCGCATGTCAGTCAGTTATTGCAAAATCTGAAAAAATACCGTATATCCTAAATTTTTGTTCTTTTATTTTCGCACAAGAAATTCCTAAATTATTATTTAAGCAGGGTGGAGTGACTCACCGATCTTTTGTCGCTTATAACACGGATAAAACTGGATATTTACCGTTAATATCTAGAGATTAACGGCGAATATATTCTGTCGTACAATGTAAAAACTTAGGTAACCGACATTGTCGCTTAGGCTGATTGTAGCCTGTTTATTATTACTGAAATCAGCCTAAGCGACAATGTCGGTTACCTAAGTTTTTACATTGTACGGCAGTTTTAATCTTTTAACATTGGGACAGCTATCTAGATATTCAACCTGAATAACCACATACGTTAAACTAGATATTAAAGGATAATATTTAAGATATTCATTATATTTTATCCTATTTTATTCAAAGTATTTAATTTATTGACGATATTTTATTTACAAACGCATAATTATCTATATCCAACCAATGGAAATTTACAATAAATAAATCCCATAAATTATTCTTAGACCATAATTTCATCTTCGTAATTAAAAAAATTGAACGTGTTTATCACTATTAGCACGAAAAGTCAACAGAAATCACAAGTCTCTTGCGCCTGCATTAAACATCGAGTTTAATATCTTATTCATTAACCCCTAATATTTTCATATATTAACCCTTAATGTCACAAGAAATATTAAATACTAATCCTAAATATCTATATATTAAGGGTTAACTGAATGCAGAGTATTCTAGGGGTTGAGACCGCTTCTACCATGTCCGAAAAGTACCTCAAGACCCTGCATGAACAATTTAGCTAAAGCATCGAGGTAAGGGAGCTAATTAGAAGGCGACGAGTGTTAGTAGTAGTAGAGAAATGTGGTATATCGCGCGCCATTCGCCGCTCTCTCTTCCTACTATCTATCATAACGGCTATAGCTATGTCGTTACAACCTTTAAGAAACCTTGATAAAAATTTGAAGCACTTTAACAGTCTTCTTTTTCTATTTCAGACTCTGTAAATGCCACTATCAGCATAGCAGTAGAGGGACTTTTTCTGGGAATTTCGACAAATGGTGCATAAGTCACAAAATTGGATATTTAGATAAAATTTACTGCGTACACTTTATTTGTATATAAATATATCCTGAAATTTGCTATAGTAAAAAGTTGGTGTTTTACATCTACTAAGGATTAGAGCATTTTATTGATTAAACATTCAATTTAAATAATTTTTGTGAGTAGAAAAAGAAAACCCAAACCACTTCAATGTACGTTATACTGTATTAGTTCATAAATTTTATTGGTATGATTTAAATTATAGACGTTTTAATATTTTTTATTTAAATCCTAAATAAGAATATCACTAAAATTAATTTTTTAATTTTAACTATTGAATTTATGTTAAAATAAATTATTTACAAATTTTTATTATTTTGAAATAAATGACGAATTTAGAAAGAAATCAATTAAGGAAGGTGAGAATTTATGTTTCTATTCTATTCACTGATTTCTTAAATACAATGTTCACCGTCATTTCGGGACTCATAACGTAATTGCAATTAGTCTAATTAGGCCGCCTGTTTGGCGAAGGTTGAATTGTATAACTCGGGTGTCCAGCCACCTAAAATACCACAACTTACATAAAGGCTTTCTATCTTCGAGATAGGACGGAAAGGTGTTAATTAAACACCGTACAATTTCTGATTTGTGCTCTAAATTTGTAAAAAGATAGTTTGTTATTTTGGAATTTAATTTAAAGAAAACTGAAATTAAATAATAAAAATTGATTTAATTTTCAAATAATATTTTGAATGCTTACGTACAAAGGCGTAAAAATATATTAATTTCTTTTGCTTGTAAATATATCATTAACAATTTTTATATTGTAATTAAAATTATTAAGCAATAGTAATTTTTCAGTTCTCAATTTAATTTTCCTAATGTTTTACAAGGATGATTAAAATTATATTAACTGTATATAGAATGATAAAAGTATCTTTAGTAAATCTAGTTTGTTTCTTAATTAACACTAGATTTGTATACCTTCCGTGAAATATATTATATTCATTAAAAGAGCAATACAAAAAGTAGCATGTCATTCTATGCCTTTAGATAAGTAATGGATCTGTATTCATTACTGCGAGCACACAAATCTTATCCGACGTATGGCATGACTTGAACATTTTGACGGACAATTGTCGCGATCCCCTTAAATTTAATCAAACTAATAATAATTAGCAATTCTCTATGTCAAATCATTCAGTACACATATATCACTATTTAATTAGTTATTGTCATTCATAAATTGTTTTATTTTACGTAAATCACAAAATATTTGTTTTTCAATTTTTGTACTATAAATATTGTGCTAAATGCAGATATGTATTATATTACTAAATGTTGGAAGCATATATATATATATATGTATATATAAAGAGATGGAGCACATAACAAAGGGGAATGCTTAGAGAGTGGGGAGTTGTAGTTGAAATCGGAAATGTATGGAACCACCATGCGGATACTGTAATTAAAATCTGACATAGCTAGTCCCGTGAAATAACCATTGATAATCGTATACCTACCGACACCCCTTACTATCCAGTCATTCTCCTATGAACATGTAATATTTATCGCGTAATAGAATATAACCCGGAATGCAGAGAGAGCACGTTTACTTGGTTGGTTAACTCAGGAAGCCAGGAACATAAACTCAAAACTAAATCCAACTAACCAAACTCGACCAGTTATGTTCCATGCTCCATGATTTCACTAGGTTTCCGTAAACATTACGTTTATTGATGCCCTCCCCTTTCATGTACGTTTAGATGTAATTCTTATGTCATAGATAATAATACACAACAAAGTTGTCTACTACAATCTGTAATTGGACATCAAACATTGAATCGATTACAATCAACAATTTGATGATTAAAATTTTACATTTTAAAGTTTTTGACATGAAAAAGTTACTGTAACTGATTTAACGCATATTATTATTTAACCCGTTGTAAATTTACGACCCACCGGTAAGGCATGAAAAAAGTGCCCAAATTTATCTTAGCGCAATAGACAAAATTTGTCATAAAAATTGAAAAAATTTTCTTTACTAGCTTTTTTGTAAAATTATTTTACGGAGTGACGCATTCTACTGTTATTAGTTTCAGTTATTGATTTAAAAAATATTCTATCTCAACAGTATTGTAATATACACAACCCAGTTGATAATAATCGTAAATGTTCTGAATATTGAGAAATATTGCCTTTATGTCTATCAAAAAGAATCAGTCTTTGTCAATAAGCAATTTTTTCCACAATATAAGCACGAATTCCACTCAGCAGATTAGTAAAGAAGTTTAATCTACGGTTGTTGATCTGCAATCGGAAGGACGCATTTTTATGTTTTGACATAAACCTAACGCTCGAATAGTTCGCGTGTCAAAGCCATGAAAGCTGTGAGCATTATGACATTACATTTAAGTTACCCTCGCACAATAATTTTGTTCGTATTATGGATAGTAAGCATAGTCCACTCGGTCGATAGAAACATTCAGGGATATAGGATAAGGTATTACTATACGATCATGAAATTCAAGTCATGAGGACGTTTCTACTCAGTGCGATTACTGCCATGCCAGGAGAAATCGTAACGTTTGTTCGGTTGGTTATTGTGCGTAATTCGTGATTGGCACTGACCATTTTGCGTCTTAGTGCTAATAAATTTGACTTTCAGACACTTTAGTGTGCGTATTGCTCCACACCAAAACCTCGAGAAATAAAGCGGTCTCGGACCAGCGATTTTATGAATATGCTTTCCAGCTAACCGCCTTTCAGGGTCGAATCGTCTTGGCGAAAGAGGGTTGAAAGCCACTGTACCCATTATTATAGGTGGGTAATAATTTATCGAATGCAGGAGAGAAAACAAGGGAAACCACTCCTGGCTCGTCTCGGATACCAAATCTGCACTACATTAACACTACAATCGTCAGCCTATTGACTACCAACCACCCAGACAAATTGTTACAAGCCTGCATTTGATGCTATCCAATCATCCGATGTTGAACAATTAGTTACACGTATCACTGAGGAGACAATGCTGTTGAAATTTGCATTATTCGCAGATGGTCGATTATTGTTTCAAAACATTTTCCATTTGCTTAAAACTGAACAAATAGTACATATATGGAATAAATTATTTTAAATCAGTATCTTTATTTTTCAAAAAATAAAAAACATGGATGCATTAAATATAAAAAAATCGTACTTACATGTCAAATTATATAAATCAATTTTTGTCATATCTACCCATCTCTGTTTGTTGCATCCACTTCTTGAATGTTAGAAGGAACATTTTCTGGCAAATTTTAGCCACCATTGCCTTCTCCCTCATGATAGCCTGACAAACTCGTGTTTTATCGCATTATTTATTGCTTCAGCAAAGGGGAACCCTACCTACCCTTTAGGCAACTGAGAATCACATACATATACACCACCTACTCTTCGTCGCGTCGTTCGTCGTTATTGATGGATTCCTCCCTTATGAAATATCTGGAAGCCAGTACGAATTTATTGCTAGCAGTTCGACCTGTTTTTTCTTGTATTGTTCAGAATGAACCCACAGTGTTATCCAGAAATGTCAGATAGTAAAGGCAACTGCGATGAACCATTACATTTCTTGACGATTTTATGTACATGGGAGAAAAATTGTCAAGTGTTCCCGACCAACATTTTTTTGTTCACGATTTTCGCAAAACTATAGCACAATAAAGTATACGTGAGCAAAAAAAGTAAATACAACCCAAAAAAAGTCAGTTACTGTCAACCAGCGTACCAAGACTCAAATTATTACATCCTTTCATCTACATTTATAGTTGCGATATTAAAAAAGTTATGACTGCACTGCATTTTATGAAAAATTCAAACAAGCTATTTTTAAGCCTAAAAAAAGATCATTCAATTATTCTTTTTCCTTTCTTGGTTTTAAGTAACTTTTAACTATATAAGGTAATTTATAACTAAGGGTTAGCTGTTGTTAAATTTATTAAAATTTTTATTGCATATGTTCACATAAATTGAACTAAATTTAAAGAAACAACATTGCATTATTGACTAATATAGTCTCTTGCTATAATTAATTGTAATAAGTAGTTAGTTTCTTGTAGTTAAAAAAGTTAATGTTATTACATTTATAATGACACGCTACTGGTAGGTATTTTGTACACGGTACATAGAGGAACCATTTTATAAAAACTTTACTTAATAAATTGTTCCTCCCTTTATCGTTTACACTATTTGACATAAAGAGCTCATATCATGCATTAATATGTTATTCGAAAGCTTTCGTGCTATCTCTGTGTAAATAAAGGCATATGAATATCCTTTCGTGTCATGTTTTCTTCAACAGTCCTTTATTTTTTAAAACATATTCTATTTATGGTTTTCGGAATCGCTGATTACGATTATGACATTAATTTTGAAAAATCCGAAATGTCGGTTGGTGAACGAAAAATAAAGAATTATTTAAATTTTCTTGACACTTATTACTAAAGTATTTTTGGGGTCGCTAATTTTGTATTTGAAGTCAAAATTCAAAATGATGTATCCAATATGGCTGACTAGTCGAAGTTAAAAAATCACTATTTTTTTATTCACTGGTGCATTCTGTTAAATATGTATATTCTTTTTTTTATTATTTTTAATGTTTTTCGCGAGTGTTTGTGTTTATCATGGACTTTCCGTGAGATTTCTATTTTATGAATAAAGTGGCAAAAGATTTATCCAAAGAGAAGTTGGTCCTTTTCCAGAAAATGTTGTGAAAATTTTACCATGTATTTTTAAGGTAAGGACGCCTTACCGAAACCCTAAAGTATTTCACATATCATTTCCAATGCGGTTTGCTGTATTTTTCATGAAATTTATGTTTATTTAATATTATTCATGCAATCCACACGTGCATGATTTTAGTAAGGTTTCTAAAAACGTCATTGAAACTTTTTAAAACTCTCTAGAAACTTTATGTAAACTTCTAAAAACTTATTACCAATTTAGAAAATTCATTGAATGATTAGGAACTTTGTGAAATTT